CCCATTGAATTCTGGGCAATGGAGTTCTCTCCAGAGCTGGATTCTGAGTGCAGATGTCATGTGATCTCCCAAAGGATTCTGGGAGATGATGTCCATGTCTTCCAGAGAGTTGACAGAATGCATGACACGACTAAGTTTATAGAAGCAGTATAAAGTATTTTTGGGTTATGTAGCTTATAATTAACAGTAGTTTCTAAATCTATTTTTATATAACACGAAAAATGCAAAAAAACAAAATTTATTCTGCTTTTTTTCTTGATTAGTTTAAGTTACTAAATCACTGAACTGGATTAGTTAAATAGAATCAAGTGTTCTTTTTATTTAAAAGAAAAGAAAGCTAAACTTTCTCTTTCAGTAGCTTTAATCTTCTTATTAGCTTATTAAATATCTGTTTTCTTTAGATTTGTTTGGTTTAGATTAACATTTGAGCCTTTTTATAAAATATTTAAACATCATAAATATTATTGTTTGTTTATAGTTATTTTCTTAATTATTATTATTTTTCTACCTGCTATATTAAGCAGTTCAAAGGTCAGAAGAATAAGCCAAATTAGATATGATGTATAATATATATTCACAGACAGATCTGGATCTGACACTGTCCGTCTCCTCATCCTCACTGTCTTCCACAGCGGCTCCCTCCGGTCCAACGTCTCTCTGAGGAGACTCCATCTGGACCTGCCCAGTCTGGATTGGCTCATTCCAGCTCCTGATCCTCTCTGGCTCCACCCCTCTTTCATTACACACACCTGCAGCTTGTTTATGGACTCATTTACAGTCACACACACTCACACACACACACACACACACACACACACTCACACACACACTCACACACTCACACACACACACACACACACACTCACACACACACACACACACACACACACACACTCACACACACACACTCACTCACTCACACACACACACACACACTCACACACATACGCACACACACACACACACACACTCACACACACACTCACAGACACTCACACACACACACACACACACTCACACACACACACACTCACACACACACACACACTCACACACACTCACTCACACACACACTCACACACACTCACACACACACACACACACTCACACACACACATTCACACACTCACACACACACCCACCCACACACTCACACACACACACACACACACTCAGACACACACAGACACACACTCACACACACACACTCAGACACACACACACACACACACACACTCACACTCACACACACACACAGTCACACACACGCACACACACACTCACACACACACACACACACTCACACTCACACACACACACTCACGCAAACTCACACACACACACACACACACACACACACACACACATACACACAAACACACACACACACTCCTCTGTGCATCTCTGTTCTTTACCACTGTGCTGCTTTACTGAATTCTGAGTTGTGTTTACTTTTGTTGGTGTTTTTTCTGTGTTTGTTGCTTTGTTTCTTGGGGTCTTGGCTAGTAAATGTACCTTGTGTCTACACACACAGACACACACTCACACACACACTGACAGACACACATACACTCACACAAACTCACACACTTACACACACACACCCACACACACATACGCACACTCACACACACAAACACACTCACACAAACACACACAAACAAACACACACACACACTCACACACACACACTCACATACTCGAACACACACACACACTCACACGCACACACACACACACGCACACACTCACACACACCCACACACACACAGTCACATACTCGAACACACACACACACTCACACGCACACACACACACACGCACACACCCACACACACCCACACACACTCACATACTCGAACACACACACACACACACACGCACGCACACACACACGCACACACCCGCACACACCCACACACACTCACACGCACACACTCACACCCACACACACTCACACACACACACTCACACACACACCCACCCACACACTCACACACACACACACTCAGACACACACAGACACACACTCACACACACACAGACACACACTCACACACACACACTGACACACACACATACACTCACACAAACTCACACACTTACACACACACACCCACACACACTCACACACTCACACACACGCACACACACACTCACGCACACACTCACGCACACACACACACACACTCACACACACACACACTCACACACTCACACACACGCACACACTCACGCACACACTCACACACACACACACACACTCACACACTCACACTCACACACACACACACTCACACACACGCACACACACTCACACACACACTCACACACTCACACTCACACACACACACTCACGCAAACTCACACACACACACACACACACACACACACACACTCACACACACACACACTCACACACTCACACACACGCACACACTCACGCACACACTCACACACGCACACACACTCACACACTCACACACACGCACACACACACTCACGCACACACTCACGCACACACACACACACACTCACACACACACACACTCACACACTCACACACACGCACACACTCACGCACACACTCACACACTCACACTCACACACACACACACTCACACACACGCACACACACACTCACACACACACACACTCACACACTCACACACACGCACACACTCATGCACACACTCACACACACACACACACTCACACACTCACACTCACACACACACACACATTCACACACACGCACACACACACTCACACACACACACACACTCACACACTCACACTCACACACACACACTCACGCAAACTCACACACACACTCACACACTCACACACACGCACACACTCACGCACACACTCACACACACACACACACACTCACACACTCACACACACGCACACACACACTCACGCACACACTCACGCACACACACACACACACTCACACACACACACACTCACACACTCACACACACGCACACACTCACGCACACACTCACACACACTCACACTCACACACACACACACTCACACACACGCACACACTCACGCACACACTCACACACTCACACTCACACACACACACACTCACACACACGCACACACACACTCACACACACACACACTCACACACTCACACACACGCACACACTCACGCACACACTCACACACACACACACACACTCACACACTCACACTCACACACACACACACACTCACACACACGCACACACACACTCACACACACACACACACACTCACACACTCACACACACACACTCACGCAAACTCACACACACACACACACACACATACACACAAACACACACTCACACTCCTCTGTGTGTCTCTGTTCTTTACCACTGTGCTGCTTTACTGAATTCTGAGTTGTGTCTACTTTTGTTGGTGTTTTTTCTGTGTTTGTTGCTTTGTTTCTTGGGGTCTTGGCTAGTAAATGTACCTTGTGTGTACCTGCCTGCCTGTTTATTGACCACTGCTTGTTGTGACCACAAGTGTTGGACAGGCCCTAATAAAGCCCCTCTGCACATGCAGCCTGACTCACCTCATGCATTACATGCGTAAAGTCAGCCTAGTTGGGTGGTGTTTTATTTACACTGATGTGAATTTGACCAGGTGCTGTAATAAAACATAAGAAAAGAAGTATTAATTTTCAATGATACCTGAGTAAAACAGATCGTCCTGAGTAATAATACTGAAGTACAGTAGTCAGTACGTTCTGCCCGTATGTGTTTCAGTATCTCTCTCATGGTAACAGACATGATGTGACACATGGAGAGAAACAGAGAGAGCAGGAGGGCAGAGTGACCGTCAGCTCACTGTAGAAAACTAAAAGAATGACCAGTACAAGCTAAAACGCAGCAGGGCCAGTGATGAATGTTGTAGTCCAGTCAGCTGTGCTGTTTCAGCTAAACACAGTGACCTGTCAGCTTGACCTTATGAGGGTTTGTTCAGGTCATCTTCACACCTTTTCCCAGCAGCTCCTGGTGCCACACATTTGCATACTGTACATGTCCTTCCTCCTGTTTTGTTTACCTTCTGATCCACCGTCCCACCAATGTGTGGCCCTTTTGTTCTTTGGGTGACCATGTAGCTCCACTGGCAGTGAGACTGAGTTACTGTGCTCTTCTGAAAGAGTTTCTACACTGACCAAAAAAATGTTTTTTGGGGACAATTTTGCCTTAAAATATATTGTGTTTTTACATCTCCTGTAAATGTATTTCTTAGGGAAAAATTGCTCCAAAAAACAAACTTTTTTGATTCAGCTCTATTTTATCATGATCAACTTTGCATATGAAAGCTCTGAAGACATGAAGGTCCACTGGTTATTTTGTGAATCAGTGAATAAAACGACTATTTTTGTTTTGTATGTATTGCAACTCCTGGATCCTTTCACAGCGATGGAGTCTGTAAGTTTGTCTTTGGTGAACCATTAAACATCAAACCACTTTATATTCCTCTTTAAATACATCAAGTAGCTGTAAATCAGTTTACAGTTTTTTTTTTCCCCATTGTTTAAACCGAACCAGACTTAGTTAAATTAATGTATGCATCATACAGAAAATGATCAGTCAAAATTATTTCCATTTACTCACTTTTTTGTGATTTTTAGAATCTATTGAGTACATTTTACTCAGTGAAGTAACTACATAGCTACTTTTCAGCCAAATAGAACAACTGCTTTAACATTTTTAGGCACATTTAAATAAAATGAAGTACATTAGAGTTTTGAGTGATAATTTAAATTGTGCTTAATTTCATTTATTTACGTGTTTGTTTGTTTGTTTGTTTGTTTGTTTGAAGGCTGGGCTTTTCTAGATGCTCTGTCCTCTTTTTCACTGACCCGTCTGGCGCTGTTGTTTATCATTTATCAGCTCCTGCCCACACTGGCCCCGACGCTGTGACATCAGCAGGATCAGGTTTATTGTTGTTATTTGAATATTTCCAGCTCATTCAACAAGAAGCGCTTCACCAGGTAAGACTGCAGGTGTGAAGCTCTATCTTTCTGTATGTATCTGTTCAACTGATCCTTCATATTTTCATCATTCATCTGAGATCAGATGCAGCTGTTCACTGAGAAGAGCAGGGAGTGTTTGGTGTTACCATGGCAACTGCCCCTGTCCTCCTCCTCTTCCTCCTCCTCTCAGGTAAGAATGGACTCATGAGCTTTTAAACCTTATTGGCTCTGAACATCATAAACGTCTGTTCAGTATCTTTAAGTGTTGTTAGTCTGAAGAAACAGGAGAAACTCCTTCACTGCTGAAAGTTTACTGACCAGATTCTGAGCCGTCATCAACTTTTACGCTCTGCTGGGGAAGCGACTCCTCCAGTAATGTGAGCCTTATGGCCCCTAACATGATTTGTGGATGTGCATTATGAGTTATAGTGACTGGTTATTGTTCCACCCTCATGCAGGTGTGTGAGTTTATTAGTTATGAGTTTAAGAGTTTATACAGTGATTATAGTGTGTCAGTGGTGAAGAGCTGAACACAGACTAATGTGTCACTATGACTCATGTGGGGGCTCACAGGTATGCAAATGAGCAGCACACACACATAAACAAACACACACAGGCCCATTAACACTACTTTACAAGGATCCTTCATATTGCTAAAAGCATTTTACTGCATAGACGGCAAGTCCAGGATCTAAAAGCCAAGGTTAACCTGAAATCTGGACATTCTGGTGCCTAAAAGGAGAACTTCACTTTTATCTGTATTAAATTTAAGAAAGTTCTGATCATCCAGAGCTTAAGATCAGAAATCCATGCTGCCCAAACCTGCACTGGGTGACGGTGATGGATTCACTGCTGGAAATGGTGAGATTGGCACTAAGACAAACAATGCCAGGAACACCAGCAGATGCAGGATAGAAAAGGAGAATGTTGTGATTTACAGCATTTAAAGATGCACTTAGACCAATGAGGAGAAGAAGAGATCCAGCATCTGCAGAACGCAGGAGGTCAGGAGTTCAGTTTCACTACAGTGATGAGTGTAAAGGCCACATTAAAAAGCCTTGTAGAGATTATTTCCAGCCACTTTGTGTGGCTAACACTGTTTCAGTCACTTTGTTCAGGAAAGAGGAGGTCAGAAACTGGTCAGAAACTGGTCAGAGGGAACAAAAGCAGAAATCTAAGATGGATTTATTAAATGATCCACTGGAGGAACGATGGTGGACACACAGAAGGGAAGCAGGGGCAGAGTCCAGCTGACAGAATGAAGAGCTAGACGTGGATCAGTTCTGGGGTCTGTGGTGAAACTGGGGTCTGTGGTGAAACTGGGGAACACTTCTTCTACAGAATAAGTGTTAAATATGGCATTTTCTGCTAATTTTAGTGCACATTTTCTAATTATTTTCTGAGTTTAACAAAAAAAAAAGATAAAACAGAGGAATATAGAATGTACCATGACTTTTGCAAAGGCTACATATATTTGTTGTTTTTTTTCCCCAACATGTTAAATTCAGCAAATAATCAGCAGTTGTGCATTAAAATATTCAGAAGTGTGTCTCTGAAGTGTGGTAACTAATTTACATACAGGACCTAAACTTTTGCATATGACTGTATAAACAGCATTGTATGAAAGTCAGAGACCACCTTTAGTTATTGATTACCTTTAGTTATTGATTACCGTTAGTTATTGATTACCTTTAGTTATTGATTACCATTAGTTATTGATTTTTCAATGTCAGGGAAAAAAAAACAGGAGACAAACTTATAAAAAATACCTCCAACATGAAATCTAGCAGTGCTTAATTCATCCCCAACACTGCCACATTAACTCTTCCATCCTTCCAGTCTTAAAACTAATCAGTCACAGCTGTGTCTCCAAACAAAAGCTTCCCAAAGCTGACATCATCAAACAGGCACAACAAGCAGCTTCCCAAACTCACCTCAGCTGCCGTCAGATTTCAAAGTGAAAAAACAAAAACTACTAATAGTAACAACAACAACGGCTCAAGAGCTGGTAGAAACCAAAACTGCCCCATCAGATAAACAGCTTTCATCTGAAAACATCCACAGGTGTTTCTGTCCATCCTTCCACTGTGAGAAGACGACTCAGCGCTGTGGGTCTGAAAGGACGTGTAGCTGTTAAGAAGAACCTCACTGAGAAAAAGAGACGGATAAAAAGAGGAATATTTTTGAGCTTTAAAACTGAACTTGTGAGATGTGGAGTGAAGTTATACAGATTGATGAGCTTAATTTGTGATTATTATTACTCGGATTAATTTGATAAATGAAAGGGTCTCTGACTTTTGCACAAACTATGAATACACAGTATAGAAATATTGAATCTCCATTAAACATATTCCTTTCACTCATTACGTTTTTATTTAGAACATGAGATTAATCTGTTGACTTCCCACTCGTTATAATTTTTAATTAAAAATTTCAATGTATAACGAAACTATCCACAACTATGCTAATTCATTAATAAATATTACTCAGCCACTGCATCACAAAGAAAACACTTAATTTATTTTTTAAAATGCTTATAATTTTCTTTTATATTCTTGAGTTGTTTAAAAGCAGATACTTTTTGAATTTCAGTCATGTATATTTTTGGCTCACTGCTTCTGCTTTTAACCCAAACGTTCACATCAGAACAGTTTCTCTGTACTTTTATATCTTGATTGTTCTTAATCACACAGATGTGCGTCGCTGAGATGCAGAAATGAGTTTTTGATCTTTAGATCTTTCCAGCTGTTCTAAATCAGTGCAGCCTCGATTTTCTGACTTCACGATTCTCAGCTTCACCACTACAGTACAGCACAGTCTGTACACCGACCTGTAACAGCTGTACACTCACAATGAACACACCTGAACACGCCCATCAACACTGTACTGATCCTAAAACTGAAGAGAACAGCATTACAGTGATTTCTCTGCTCTAACAGTCCAGCATCTCACTGTTCTGGAGCTGTTTAATCTCTCATTCTGTACAGTAAAACATCCTGGATCAAACACATTTACACCTGTTATTTCTGTTCTACAGTAACTACAGAACTTTCTACAGTTTCTTCTCCTGCAGATCAAAGTCGTCTCAGAACTTTCCACATCACTGAGAAGAGAATGAATCAGACTGAGGCTCGAGCAGCTTGTAGAACAAACTACACTGACCTGGTCACTGTGTACAGTGATGAAGACAACACTGCACTGACTAACCTGATCAACATGACTGGTATCAGTTTAGCCTGGATTGGTCTGATCCGCAATCAGTCCAGTGATAAATGGTCTAATGGAGATGATGTTACATTCAGTAATCTGACAGGGGTCTGTGGGTCAGGGTCCTGCTGTGTTGCTATGAAGGCTGATGGATCATGGGAAAGTCTTCAGTGCACAGATAAAAGAAACTTCATGTGTTATAAACGAGGTAATTACTGATTATTAACTCTATAGATTTAAACTAAAGGGAAGGAAAGTCGTCAGATCAGTTAACAGTGAATTAGATGTGAAACACATTACAGGCTGTAATAAAATGTGTCGAGTCATCATATTCAGTTATATTTGACTCACAGTTTACAGACTCTTTCACGTGAATAACAACATCATATCACCTCCCATGATGCACTGCTGGCACTGAGCCCTGAGTTTTCTAGTTCAATATATTTTAATCTTCACAGTTTTAAGACTCACTAAAGTGTTCTATTATAATATTGTTTTCATATCTGCTCTGATTTTATGTGCACAAAATTACTGTTTCATAAAAGTTCCAGCTTTAAATGATTTTTAATCTGTTATCAAAAGTTTTCCTATATGGTGAAATGATTGGCGGGTCAAAATACTTTGAATGTGACCAGCAGATGGCGCAGTTCTGTACTTCCCCTCCCCAAATCGGTCCAACATCATATATTAATATCAGCTTTAACTGCCTGGATGATCAATAAAGTAAATCGATCTGTAGCAGAATTAATACTGACTTTTTATCAGAATTAATATCAATACATACAGATATAATATACATATTTACAGACAGTCAGATCCATAATTACAGTCTCTGTTGGTGAAGACGGTAAAAGAAGGTTATAAAAAATGTATTTAAATTCGTTCAATAAATTAACTGGTGGATTTTTATGATCTTTTTTATCCATCTTTGTAAACGATGTGAATAATTATAGAGCTGACTGTATTTATTTGTAATGTAAGTTGTTGCTGTATTTAAATAACCAGTTTATTAAAGAGCCATGAGGGTCAGTTCCTTTGAAAGGGTGGGCTGGATATTTGGGGGTAAATAAACCTCTGATGTTGGGAATCTTTTAGTAGTCATTATTCCCAAATAAGGAACACTGAGTTTCAAACCCAACACGTTTTGTCTTTTATACATTTCCCCCAAAATATCATGAGATGATCTGAATTATGAGGTCAATAAGAAGCTCTGTTCCCTCCATAGATGCTGACCTCACCCTCAGATATCATTTAACCTCTGAGAATATGAGCTGGTATGAAGCTCAGAGTTACTGCAGGAAGAACTACACTGACCTGGTCAGCATCAGAGATCAGAACCAGAACGAAGCAGTGAAGATAGAAGGGCTGACCAGCAGAACGTCCTTCTGGATCGGCCTGCTGCATGATGGCTGGGAGTGGACTGATGGTGGACGCTCTGCCTACAGGAACTGGGCGACTGCTCAGCCTCGATCATCATCAGTCTGTGTCAGACTGAGAAAAGGGAAATGGGAAACATCACCATGCAGTAATACTCGTCCTGCTCTGTGCTACAACAGTAAGTCACGACTTTACAAACACTCTGATCCTCTCAGAGTTCAGGATCATGAAAGGCAGTGATGAGTAACACTGCAGTATGAGGGACGAGGAAAAGCAGCAAATCGAGATGATCAAAACTCAAAGCTCATCCCAAACCGTTACTGTGAGCTAATATGACACTGATATCATAAATGAATATTTAATATTAGGTGGAACTTTTATTGACTGAGTTTTGTTTGTAGCCAGTAAATTTACAAAATATGAAACCAAACCGTGATTTTGATTCATCACGATTCTGTTTTATTAGATATTAAGAATGTTTTTAAAACTTTACTGACAATTCAAGTCATTAATATCTACTGAGTCTCTGGCAGCTCTGTTAATATTTTCTAATAATCAATAAATGTAGGTTTATTGACTGTAATATTTACTCATCGTTATACTTTATCAATTTGAAAATTCAACATGTTATAAATGTGATTGTTGAGTGTTTATAATTATAATATATAATAGATTAGAATCAAATCTGACCTGATAAATTGATTTTTGTTCAAATGTATTTAGTGTTATTTTTCATAAACAGCAGATTTGATCAGCCTTAGATAGATAGATAGATATAAAGACAGACAGACAGACAGACAGATAGACAGAAAGACAGACAGACAGACAGATAGATAGATAGATAGACAGATAGATGATAGATAGATAGATAGATAGATAGATAGATAGATAGATATAAAGACAGACAGACAGAGAGACAGACAGACAGACAGACAGATAGACAGAAAGACAGACAGACAGATAGATAGATAGATAGATAGATAGATAGATAGATAGATAGATAGATAGAAAGATGGACAGACAGACAGGTAGAAAGACAGACAGACACACAGATAGATGAGGAGATGAGTAATATTTACAGACCTAAACCTGCAGGAATGCTGGAGAAGCACAAAGAACTACAGGACTAACATGATGAGGCCTGAAGTTTGTTTTAAGGAATATGATTGTTTTAATGACAGTGTTTCTTACTGACACACAATCCTTATTAAAAATATTAATCATGTATTTAATACATGACAGACAGAGAGACAGACAGACAGACAGACAGATAGACAGAAAGACAGACAGACAGACAGATAGATAGATAGATAGATAGATAGATAGATAGATAGATAGACAGACAGAGAGACAGACAGACAGACAGACAGACAGATAGACAGACAGACAGACAGACAGACAGACAGATAGATAGATAGATAGATAGATATAAAGACAGACAGACAGAAATACAGACAGACAGACAGATAGACAGAGAGAAAGACAGACAGACAGACAGACAGATAGATAGATAGATAGATAGATAGATAGATAGATAGATAGATAGATAGATAGATAGATAAATAGATAGATAGAAAGATGGACAGACAGACAGGTAGAAAGACAGACAGACAGACACATAGATAGATAGATAGATAGATAGACAGACAGACAGACACACAGATAGATAGATAGATAGATAAATAAATAGATAGATAGAAAGACAGACAGACAAACAGACAGACAGACAGACAGACTGACACATAGATAGATAGATAGATAGATAGATAGATAGATAGACAGAGAGACAGACAGACAGACAGACAGACAGACAGATAGACAGACAGACAGAGAGACAGAGAGACAGACAGACAGACAGACAGACACATAGATAGATAGATAGATAGATAGATCGATAGATAGATAGATAGAGAGATAGAGATTAAGTGCTACTTCCTCAGAGCAGAGAGGAGATGAGTAACGTCTCCCTCTAGAGGAGATGAGTAATATTTACAGACCTAAACCTGCAGGAATGCTGGAGAAGCACAAAGAACTACAGGACTAACATGATGAGGCCTGAAGTTTGTTTTAAGGAATATGATTGTTTTAATGACAGTGTTTCTTACTGACACACAATCCTTATTAAAAATATATTAATCATGTATTTAATACCATCTAAAACCTAAAATACATCTATGGGTGCCAACTTGATGGGTTGAACAGCAGGGCGGCAGAACATGAATGCACAAGTAAAAATGATTGGGAAAAAAAATCATAATTCATAAATAATTCATTTTGTTTTGAATGTAATGCACTTCTGTTTGTAGTGGTCAGGCAGCCCAGAATTTGTTTAACCCACCAGAAGCTGAAAGAGAAAGTGTCCAAACGTAAAGGTTTGAAACAGGGTGTAAAAAACAGTGAATATTGTTTTTAATAACATCAAACAAACCTTTTATTATTATTTATAATACTGAATTCTCTTACTTTCCTGGTAGAAACAGCCTTTAATAAACAGTTTCAGAGACTCTTTTTGTGACATTCCTTCCTGTTTAGATGGTCAGGACGGGGTCTTAAACTGGCTCAGGGTGACGCCTCCAAACCGAGCCTCACTGTCCTGCCTCCTCTCTGACTGTCTGAGCCTGAGTGACCTTTGATAGCCAGATACTCAACACTGCAGTCCAGGGACGCAGGAAGTGGGGGTGCTGAGGGGGCTGCATTGCCCCCTGATCTCAGTAAATGTCTAAATGAACTACAGTAATAAACAGTTCAGAACTGTGTAATAACTGTGTAATAACCTGAGCGCAGTATAGAGCCGTAGTGCTGGATTTGGAGCAGAGTTTTAATAAGATTCTCTGAATCTGCAGAAGCTGCTCTTTTTAACTGACGCTGTATTTTCAGTACAGTGAGCTGAAAACTGCTGGCCGCTTTGGGCTCGTCGCTCAAACACACACAGGTTGGAGTGTAAAGAGAGGAAGTCCAGCTGTTGGTCAGTTCTGAGCCCCATAGCAGATTAATACTGACCTTAAACTGAAAAACAATCATCTAACATAATAATGAAGTTCATCAGTCGTTATTTCTCCACTCGGCGCCGCTTCCAGTGTTGAACCTCAGCTTGGTTGCCGCGTCACATACCAGCAATCTGATTGGTCGCCGCTCAGTTAATCTGCATAAAGTTCATCCAGAACCAGAGCAGAGTGATGATGTGCTTCAGCGCATTAATGAGTCAGTTATGTTTATATGTTGTCTCTCTTGCCTCGTTATATAAACTCTCTGATTCTCCCAGCAGGAACGTGAATATGAAGCTCTTTTCTCTCTCTAAACCATCATTTTCCGTCTGTGTTGTTGTGTCTCTGTCAGCACTCATCCATGTCAGCGCTGAGCAGATGGACTGGGAGAGCGCTCTGGATTACTGTCAGAGAGAGAACAGGACGGCTATTCTGCGCATCGAGTCTGATCTGGACCAGAAAGAGGTGAAGTTCGAGCTCAGGAGGAGGCGTGTCTCTGGGCCTCTGTGGGTGGGGCTTGGACAGAGTCGACTCTCTGAGCTGTTGAAGTCGTCCAGTAAGCTGGCTTTGGGACCCTGGACCAACAGGAACGAGAGACAGACTGAGCCTGCGCCCCTCAGCCGTGCTGGGACAGACACTGTGGAGAAAACGTTCAGGAAGAAGACGGACGTTTCAGCTCTTAGAGCTGTTTGTGAACTTAAACAACCATAAAAGACAGATTTCTCACCCTGGAAGTGACCAGTCCACTGTTTTCTAGCTCTGACTCTGTTCCAGTCCACATGCACTTCACTAGATTAATTCAGTCTATAAAGCAGATTAAATACTAAACAGTGATAAAGACTCAGTTACACACTTTTAAAATGATTTAGCTTCTCTTTGTTTATAAGGTGGATTATTGTGAAGTAATATTTCTACATTTTATTACTCTAATAACAGCTCTGATCACCATTTGAGATTATACTTTATTATAGCTGTTTCATTTCTGCAAAAGGATCATTTATTTTAGCATTTTTTAATCCCTGTCTTGTGTAACCTGTTCAACATCGTCTCTCAGCATTTTATTTGGTAACCTGATGATTTTTGGATTAGCCTGTATTTTATGAGTAGCAGATTATCTACTAATATTGTTTGTAGAATTAAGGAAACAGCATCATATTAATAAACTTTTCATTCAAAAATCCAGCCTGATCTTTTTACACTGTTATATTACCTGAATTTTTCAGTTCCAATTACAGACGTGAATTTGTTTATTCTCAGAAACTGCTGTACAAACTTTTCTGGGAGCCACTTTGTCCTTTTAAAAATATTGAAAATACTGTAAACCACACACAGGTATAAATATTGGATCGTACATAATAAGATTATGAATGATGAGTCTGTAGATTTGGGTTTTGCCAAGATCATTTCAAAGTTCAGAGGTCAACTGCAGCAGGTAGCGTCCACTGTAGATTAGTTCTCCACTGGTGGAGGTGCACAGGGCAGTGGGGTCTCCACTGGAGTAGGTGCACAGGGCAGTGGGGTCTCCGCTGGAGGAGGTGAACAGGACAGTGGGGTCTCCGCTGGAGGACGTGAACAGGACAGTGGGGTCTCCGCTGGTGGAGGTGCACAGGGCAGTGGGGTCTCTGCTGGAGGAGGTGAACAGGGCAGTGGGGTCTCCACTGGAGGAGGTGCACAGGGCAGTGGGGTCTCTGCTGGAGGAGGTGAACAGGGCAGTGGGGTCTCCACTGGTGGAGGTGAACAGGGCAGTGGGGTCTCCACTGGAGGAGGTGAACAGGGCAGTGGGGTCTCCGCTGGGACTCTACTGAGATTGAGATAAATCCTGTAAATAGAAATCTTTAAAATGCATCATGTGAATATCATTGTACTGACCCAGTGCTGCCCTCCTGCAGCCTCTCACTGGGTACATCACAGGCCTGGCTGTCGTCATTACTGCAGGTCACTGTGGGCTCTGATTGACTGTATTCATTCTGATAGAAGGTGTTAAGTAATTAAAATAGTTATGTGATGTTTGGTTCCTCATATATTTACAGGGAAGTTGTGGTGAAGTCCAGTCAGTCCAGCTGAACCGACCCTCTACTGGACTGACTGGCTGCAGGTAGATGGTGGATGGTGTCACTGGAAAGGGCTCCATACTGTTTGATATCCTCTGTTGGGCTGCTGGAACTGAAATAAGCTGGTCAGCAGAAGAAGAGATGAAGCACCGATACACAGAAACCCTTTACAGGCCTCCTTCATCTCACCGAGCGTCTCTCAGCACAGCCAGCAAACAACACACAAACAGAGGAACATGGGATATTAATCACTGTTTGTATCAACACACATTTAAAACATGTTTAATCCAGTAACAGCTTTAAAGGTCAGAGGTGGGAAATGCTTACACAAATAATATCTCAGCTACATAAATATGAATATGATATAAATATTAGACTGGATATGTTTCAG